CTGTTGGGGAGCCGCCAAACTGCCCCCAGGTCAATCGCACAGCCGTCCTGGCGGCCCAAGGCTTCCCCGAGCTATCTCGAAGATTGGCTCAAGAGGTTTCAGGCGGCTCAAGAAGGTTTCAGGCGGCTCAAGAGGTTTCAGGCTTTCCAAACGGCCCCGCGAGACCCTGACGACGGCCCACGAAGGCTCCATAAAGACCCTGACGAGTGCCCCGACGGTATAGTCCGTAGGTGTTTGGCGGATTTGTGCGTTCAAGCTTTTCGGGTTTGCAACGGTCCAAGACAGCTCACGAGGCGCCCCAGGCCGCCCTACAAGGCCCAAGAGGCCCCCAAGAAACCCCCGAGACGGTGTCAGAGGCCCCCTTGGGAGCCCCAAGATAATTCGAGAGAGCCCCAGGACGGCTCAAGAGGCCCCCAAACACGGCCCAAGAGGGGGAACCCAAACCCACAATTCCAGCCGTCCGGCCGTCCGCCCCCACAGGCCCCCAGGAGGTCCCAAGAGGCCCCGCGAGGCCCCCAAGAGGGCACAAGAAGGCCCCAAGAAGACTCAGAAGCGTGCGCCGTCAGGTCACAATTCAGTTTGTTCCATACAATTTTGGTTCATTTGTGCGTTCAAGCATTTGCGGGCTCGCTCCAAGGCGCCTCAAGAGGCGCCCCACCCCGCCCCGACAAGGCCCAAGAGGCGCCCAAGAAACCTCCAAGACGTCGTCAGAGGCTTCCTCGGGAGCCCCAAGATGACTCGAGAGGGCCCCAGGACGTCCCAAGAGACCCCACAAGACGGCCCAACTCGGACCCCTCAGTGGCCCCAAGAGAGGGAGCGCAAGCAATTCCAGCTTGTCGTCCCCACAGACCCCCAGGAGGCCCCGCGAGGCCCCCAAGACGGCTCAAGAAGGCTCTCAGAAGACCCCGATGAGTGCCCCGAGAGGCCAAACTTATTCATTCCCCGGCGGTTTTTGACGGATGTTTGCGTTCACGTTTTTCCGGGCTTGCAAAGGCGACCCAGACCGCCCCGACAAGGCCCAAGAGGCCCCCAAGAAACCCCCAAAACGGCGTCAGAGGCCTCCTTGGGAGCCCCAAGATGATTCGAGCGAGCCCCAGGACGGCCCAAGCACACACACACACATATATATATATATAATATATATATATATATATATATATATATATATACGTAGCACCCCGCAATTGCGGATAAGAGTGAGGGGGCGGGCGCGGGCGACGCGGGCGTCGTCAAGCCGGCGGACCTCGTGGCCCCCACCTTCCCTGTCGATGGCGCTCTCCTCCTCCTCCTCCGCCTCCTCCTCCTCCTCCTCCTCTTCCTCGTCCTCGTCCTCGTCCTCATCGTCATCGTCGTCCTCCTCCTCCACCTCGTCCTCCTCCTCCTCCTCCGCTTCTTCCTCGTCCTCCCTCTGCCTCCCTCGTCCTTCCATCATCGTCCTCCCATTGTCGTCATGTTCCTCCTCGTCGTCCTCCTCCTCTTCCCCCCCTCCCGATCCTCCCCCCTCCTCCTTTTCGTCGTCGTCGTCGTCGACGTCGTCGTCGTCCCCTCCTCCTCCTCCTCATCCTCCTCCTCCTCCTCCTCCTCATCCTCCTTCTCCTCCTCGTCCTCCTGCAAAAGCAGCCCGCCGCAGGCGCCGAAAAAATTGGTTTGTACACTGAACGTGGTTTGGGTCGCGGGTGGGGCGCGGGTTCTCCACCGGGAACGAATGCAAAAGATGCCCGCCGCAGGCGCCGAAAAATGTAGTTTGTACCCTGAACGTGGTCGCGGGTGGGCCGCGGTCTCTCCACCTAGAACAAATGCAAATGATATATATATATATATATATAGGTGTGTGTATATTTTTTTTGTTCTCTCTCTCTCTCTCTATATATATATATATATCTACACACATACGCGCTTACCTACTTACCCACCAACCCACCCACCCACCTGCCGACCTACCTACCTACCTACCTACCTACTTGCCTACGGACCTGCCTACCTACGGACCTACCGACCTACCTACCTACCGACCCACCTACGTATATACATACATACATGCAGGCATGCATACATTCACATACATATATACCTACCTACCTACCTACCTACCTACCTACCTACCTACCTACCTACCTACCTACCTACCTACATACATACATACATACATACATACATACATACATACATACATACATACATACATACATATACACACATATATATACACATACATACATACATACATACATACACACACATACATACATACATACATACATACATCCATACATCCATACATACATACATACATACATACATACATACATACATACATACATACATACATACACATATGCAGGCATACGTACATTCGTACATGCATACATACATGCACGCATGCGTACAACACCAGCAAATACATTTAGACATATGCATACACTCATACGTACATTCACGCATGCATACACAACACAGACCACCCTATAAGCATACATTGATACATGCATGCATGCATGCATGCATACACACATCTATACATACATACATACATACATACATACATATATATATATATTCATAATATTCAAAACCATCCATTGATTGGGGTTGTTCTCTGATGTAATCTAGATATTCGAATGCTTCTGTGCCAGACAGCGCCGTTCGCGCTTACCTGCTGCTGCCTTTGCCTCCCCCCTCTCCTCCTGCGTGTTGTCGACTGCTCGCCGTGCTTTTCCTCTCCTCCCTCCCTTCTCATTCTCCTCCTGGCCTCCCGCCTTGCATGGCGCGGGCGCGCGCACCTAACGGCGGGGTCTAGTGGCTCACGCCCCGCGGCCGCGTCCTCGCCACGTGCGTTTTCGTTGCGCGTTGTGCGCAGCGGTCCTTTCCTCCTTCGTCCTCGTCCTCTTCTTCTTCTTCTTCTTCTTTTTCTTCTTCCTCCTTTCCCTTCTTTCTTGTCTCTCTGCGCTGCAGCGCCGCCGTCTTGCGCACGCCCGCATTCGCGGCGGCCGGGCGCGGCCATCAGAGGCTGGTTTTCTGTAGGCCTGGATCAGGGGCTGAGGCTCGCAGGCCACGGGGGGTATAGTCAGCGAAGAGGGGAAAGAGGACGAGGCATTTGCGCGTGATCCGTGCTGGTCATTTGTGTGCACTCTCACGCACCACGCGGCAATCATTCTTGTTCGGCTAGACGTTGGGCGAGCAAGTCTCGTCCAGCACGGTGGTCTCGCAAGCAAGTGCGTGTGAACGTATACGCTCCACTGCATCTTGTCTCGCTCGATTTGCCCATGCGTCCGCCGGGGATGCACGGCCTCAGTCGGTCAGTCAGAGTCTCGGAGCCCCCCATCTTCCGACTTCTCCCGCGCCGTCTCCCGAGCGGGCCGACACGTGCGCTGCCACGGGCGGGCCCCGACACACCAGGCTGGAGTGCCCAGCTCGGCAAAGCTCAGGCGCCCGCATCTCGGGGGGGCCGCTGCTGCGCCCCGGGGGCCGGCGAGGCCACACGCCCTGCGGGGATTCCTCTCTGGGCCGGGCGACGCCTGCCCTCCTCCCGCGGGCCTCCTCTGCAGGCCAAGGCGCACCCCCGTCGCCAGCCGGGATCTGGCTGGATTCCCGAATTTGGGCGTTGCGTAATGGAGGGGTCATAAATGGCGGGGTGGCGAGGGTGGTCCGAAAGGGTACCCAAACGGTATCTAAACGAGCCCCCTGGGGCTCCGGAGGGGCCCGAAAGGGGCAGGACAGGGGACCGTTTCTGACCCCCCCATTTGTGACCCCTCCATTAAGCCACGCCCGACGAACGCTTCTGGCTGTGCCGTTGTGGTTTGTGCTCGTGCACCCACCGATCCGGCAGCAACTCGCCGGAGCCTCGTGTTCGGGGGTGGGCAGAGCCTCCAACATCGACACGTCGATTCGTGACTTGTCCGTTTTCGGTTCTCGGGATGGCGCCGTGGCCGTTATTTTCCAGGCTTGCGCCCGCCAGGTTTGGGCCTCAGGTCGTTTTCACTAAACCATGCTTTGCTAAAGGGGGGTCTGTCCAACCCCGATGTGTGTACTTGCAGCTCCGCCCTTCGAGCTCCAGAGCGCGCTCGCGTGCGCTAGCCGTCTTCTAGTCGATGGGAAAGCTCGGATTGTACTCCGATCGGCGCAGGCGTAGCGCCACTGAGCGTCGGTTAGCGTCGTTGCACGTGGGGCTCCCATGAGCTGCCACCGAACATCCTCGACCCTAGCGAGGCTGAAGACCCCGATATCCGTCGTCCTGTTTTTTTCCATGCGGGGCCCCCGGGAGTCCTGTTCTCTAGGGCCGACTTCTTCATCCTGGGTCGTGTCTTGACTGTCCTGGAACCCGGCGAGGGCCCCCCGGCTGGGGAAAAACCAAACACATTCTACGACCATGGATGTTCAATACGTCGGATGAGGAGGATGACTGCTTTTGGACTGCTCTGTATGACCCGAGAGAATTTCGGAAAGCATGGGGGAGGAAGAGGAGGAGGAGGCGGAGGAGGAGGAGGAGGAAGAGGAGGCGGAGGAGGAGGAGGAGGAGGAGGAGGAGGAGGAGGAGGAGGAGAAGATTGGGGGTGGGGGGTAGCGGGGGGGTGGGGGGAGAGATGGAGTGGGGGGGGGGAGCAGCAGGAGCAGCAGCACGAAGAGAAGCGGACTCCGAGCACGGAGGCGCCCTCGGGCCACGGGCGGCCGGCGCGCGCTGGCGGCGCGCGGCAGACGAGGAAGGAGGAGGCGGACGTATTCACCGAATGCACCGAGGTCACTTCGACGGGGAAGGAGGAGGATGGGGCGGGGGCGGAGGAGGCGGAGGAGGAGGAGAGGGTGGAGGCGGAGGCGGACGAGGAGGAGGGGGGGGGAGGAGGCGGAGAAGGAGGAGGAGGGGGAGGGCGGAGGTGGAGGAGGGGGAGGGCGGAGGTGGAGGAGGAGGAGGAGGAGGAGGAGTAGGAGGAGGAGGAGGAGGTGTGGGAGCCGGAGCAGGAGGTGAGTGCCAGGCGAGCTCTGGCGGGCAGCTTGGGCGGCCCCAGGTGCTCAGCATCTCCCGCAGCGCCATCGGGGAGCGGCGGGTGTGGGCGAGGGGGGCGCGTTCCGCCACTGGTCACGTTGCACCCTGTCCTGTGAATGGTAGTCTTCTCTTGTTCTCCGACGTGGGTTCGGCATGAATTCGACGTGGATGCGACACGGATCCGACGTGTTCGACATGGATGCGACACGGATTGTTGGCGCGATGGGACAGGCGAGGTCCACCAAATATGCAACATAATCTGAAATCAGTGGCAACGTTCGGGGGACGGCGGTCTCGAAGTTCGAAGTTTTTTCTGGCGTTGTCATCGCATCTCAGCGGTTTTCCAGCCTCGGGTGTTCTCCAACCAAGACGGCCAAAGGCCTGCAGGACGCCCCGAGGCGGCCCAAAAGGACCCCCAAGACGGTCTAAGGGAGTTCCCAAAAGGGCTCCCTCCACAAGGGCCCCCAGAAGACCCCGACGAGGCCCAAGAGACGCTCAAGAATACCATGGCCTTGGCATCGCTCGGACGTGTGCATTTTTCCTTCGGCGAGGACAATTGAAGAGCATCCTTGATCATTTTGCGAAAAAACACGCACGAAACCGAAAACAAACACAGGAAATGAACGTCCGAGCGATGGCCAGCAAGAGACGCTCAAGAAGACCATGGCTCCCAGCAGCGGGCGGTGACGTAGCAAGCGCTTGACACCAAGGCTCCCCAGAGCGCGGTGACGTAGAAAACTCGTCACGCTTTTTGGTCGGCGGGGCGAGAGCGAGCCTCTTCCGCCAAAAGCTAGGCGGGCTACGCACAGCTTTAATTCGGGAGACAAGGCACATGAAGGCGGGGCCTCGGGCGGCCGGAGCGGGGGCGGCGCCCGGGGTGCAGGCGGTGCCGGAGTTCTTGCACAGGAAAAGGTGCGCCGCGGATAGGGACCGGAGGCGAATCAAACAAAAAAACTCGTCACACCAAGGCGCCCAAGAGCGAGCGGCAACGTAAAGTCTCTGAACGCCAGGCTCCCGACGGAGAGCGGCGACGTAACAAGGTCTGCACACCAAGGCTCCCCAAATGCGAAGGGGTCCATGAGCCATCTCGGGCAAGATCCTGAGGCACTCTTTCCGTTTCCGTGCCGGCCCAGGTGACGGAAAGCGCGCGTAGCGTGCGATCCGTTAGTCGGAAGGAATTTAGGGGAGTGCAGAGGGGGTGGCATCCGCAGCCCCTGGGTGACGGAAAGAGCGAGTTACGAGCGAGTGACGTTGAGCAGGGGGTGAAACCTTTCTAGGTTTAATGGCCTTAGTTTTCTCCCAAGAGGCTTCCAGAGGCCTCAAGATAGCCGTAGACGGTCAAAGATGGCCTCCAAGACGGCTCCAGAGGGATCACGAAGCCTCCAACTTCGCCTGCGATGCGTCCAAGACGGCCCAAGACGCCTCCAAGACTGTCCAAGAGGCCTCCATGACGCCCCAAGAGGTTTCCAAGAGGCCTCCCAAAAGGACCAAGAGAGGCCAACCTCAAGGTTTGTCTCATGGTTTTAAAGCAGGTTTTTGGGAATCTCGCCTTTTCGGCTCCCCGACGCTGCAAGCCCCAGAGACCCCTAATATCGCCCCAAGGCGGCCCAAAAACGCCCCCAAGACGGCCCCAAGACGGCCGAAGAGGGCTGCCAGACGGCCCAAAAAAGGCCCAAGAGGTCTCCAAGTCGGCCCAAGAGGCCCCCAAAACGGCTCCAAGATGGACCCTAGACGGGGTATCCGATCGGACTTTTCGGGCCCTCGGCCCCAAGAGGCTCCCAGGAGGCCCCAAGAGGCCCCCAAGAGGTGAGGAGGAGAGAGGAGGAGGAGGAGGAGGAGGAGGAGGAGGAGGAGGAGGAGGAGGAGGAGGAGGAGGGTCAAGGAGGAGGAGGAGGAGGAGGAGGAGGAGGAGGGGAGCGAGCCGTGTTGCTACCCGCGCGTCCCTCTGGATGCTTGGCAGTGCTCGCTCGAGTGCGGGGGGGAGGAAGTGATCGACAAGTTCTCCCCGTGGCTCGGCGAGCGCTTCGAGATCTTCCGCGCCGCAGTTGTGTCCGGGCAGGAGGACGGCGGGCGGCGTCCCCCAAGTGGCAGTAGTCGGCGTCGTCGTCGTCGAGGATCGAGGGTCATGTCGGGCCTGCCCCCCCCCTACAGGGGGACTTTCGACGAAAGATAAAACATACCCCCAAAAATAGTCAAATAATAATCCAAACATAGCCTGGGGGGCATTTGGGGGGTATTTTTTTGTTTGTCTTTTTGGCGTATTTTGGGGGTGTTTTTTCCTGTTCGTCGAAAATCCCCCTGCAGGGGGACACGCCCGACATAAATCGAGGGTCGAGGCTGTTTCCTCGGGGAAAGGCCAGTCGAGACAACGGCGGCCCTCCCTGGCGTCCCGTCCGTCTTCTCTCGGCCTCCTACAGGCCTCTCGTCACCCCGGCCGGATCCGCCTCGAAGAACGGGGCAAAACGCACCCCAGGGGGGTACAGGGACGGATTTGGAGTGATTTTTGGCCGGCTGGAGAGCCGCCGTCGATAAAACGACGCGAAGATCGGGACCAAATCGGATCGGGATAACTCGAAATCTCTGAGAATCGGCGGGTTTGGAGGATGTATTGGGCGCCGCGGCCGCTCCAGAGCGTTCCGGAACGCTCTGAGAGCGCTCCGGAACGCTCTGGAGCGATTTATCCCGATCCTAGCCCTGTTTTAGTACAGGGACGGATTTCGAGTGATTTTTGGCCGGCTGGAGAGCCGCCGTCGAGCTTCGAGGATCGAGGGTCGGGGTATTGATGTTCTGGATTTGGCAGACCTCGTCGGGCCCTGGGAGGCCTACAGTGAGATTGGTACCGAGCGGTACTTGTAGCACGTCCTCTTCTCTGAGATGGCTGCTGGCAATAATCCTACTTGTCGTCCACGAGACGGTTTTCCCAACCATCCTTTGCCTGGCATCGCTCGGACATGTGTATTTTTTTCTCGGCGAGGATCCTTGAGGAACATCCACGCACGAACACGAAACGCGCACGAAACAGACAATCACGGATCATCGAGCGAAAAAAACACGCACGAAACCGGAAGAAAACACAGGGAATGGACGTCCGAGCGATGGCCAGTGTGGTGTTGGGTTTTTGTTTTGAATCCGCACCCCGCTCCTCTTCCCCCTCCCCCCTCCTCCGATCCCTGCTTCTGCCCCTCGGGACTCCTAAGGGTCTCCACCAAAGGCCCCGGTGGCCGTCGTCGCACGCGGCTCCCCGCCCAATTCGGCACACCCCTCGAACGCTCCGTGGCTCCACCCACGAGGGGGGGGCCCACCGCAGGCCCCAGCGGCAGCGCCCACATTCAAGGGAGTAAAAAACGCCCCTTCCCTGGTTTACGAGGCGCTGTGCGCTGAACCTCCTGTGTGCTGACAGGATAAGACCTACATATCGCGCGTGTCGCGCGGCGTCCTGGCAGCTCTCTGGCCTTTGGGAGCTCCCAGGAGGTTTACAGACCACGCACTTGTAACCCAGGGTAGGGGCGTTCTTGCACCCCTCGACACATGGCGTCACCCCGCCCATGTCGGCATACTCCTCACACGTTTCGTGGCCTCCGAGGGAGTCCCACCGCAGGCCCCCAGCGGCAGCGCCCGCATGGCGGCACCCCGCCCATGTCGGAACGTCGCCCCACCCTTTGTTCCACCTGCCTTGCGGTATTCTCATTTGCAGATGGTTGGGTCGTTGGCCAGGACACCTGTTATCGGGGGCGGAAAAGAGGGGGGTGATGACTAGGGGGGGGGGGATATCATGGCGTGGGCCATGATATCTCCCCAGATTTCATGGCGCCTCTTCTTATTTCATTACGTCCCTGGCACCCCCGCTGGGCCGCGCACATATGCCGCCGGTCATGATTTGCACCCCCCCCTCTTGGACACCCCACTCTTGGCCGCTCCCGATGTTAGGTTGGGATGCAACTCCTGGGAGGTCAGATTCTGATGTCGCACTGGTCCGAAGTCCAGCTTGATCCGGCTTGATCCCGCTGAATCCCGCTTAGTCCGAGGCCCACTCCGGCGCAACAGCCCCCCAATGCGGCTTAATCCTCTTTAATCCTTCCGACAAAAGCCTCCCAATCGTTGCCTCGTATCTTGCGGTATTCACATATGCAGATGGTTCGGTCGTTGGCCAGGACACCTGCTGGGGACGGGCGATGAACGGTGTTGCCGCCGCCCTTCCTGGATAGCCCGACCTCGTCGGTGGCGCAGGTCCGAGGAGGAGGAGGAGGAGGAGGAGGACGAAGAGGCGGAGGAGGAGGAGGGGGAGGAGGAGGAGGAGGAGGAGGAGGAGGAGGAGGGGGAGGAGGAGGAGGAGGAGGAGGAGGAGGAGGAGGAGGAGGAGGAGGTGGAGAGGAGGAGGGAAAAGGGGGGGGAGAGGAGGAGGAGGAGGAAGGAGGAGGAGGAGGAGAGGAGGAGGAGGAGGAGGAGGAGGAGGAGGAGGAGGAGGTCCGAGAGGGGTACCGCGTGGTGGCTCGCGCGGGCACGCGTTGGGCCTGCCAAGCGCGAAGAGGTTATAGGCTAGCGGCCAGCACCTCCCCCCCGCCTCTCCCGGCGGGTAACCCGGGCCATCGCCGAGCAGAAACAGAAGCGGTGTCTTGTGGTATGGCTGTTGGCAGGTGGAGGAGGAGGAGGGAGGAGGAGGGAGGAGGAGGGAGGAGGAGGGAGGAGGAGGAGGAGGAGGAGGAGGAGGAGGAGGGGGAGGAGGAGGAGGAGGAGGAGGAAAAGGAGGGAAGAGGGAGGAGGAGGAGGAGGAGGAGGAGGAGGAGGAGGAGGAGGAGGAGGAGGTGGATCAAGTAGCGGGCCGCCGCCCGCGATCGTTTTTGGTTTTCTGCGCCGTAAACTCAAGAGCTCGGTGATCCAAATGTCAGAGGTCTGATCGGGTGAGAGGCAGCGGCAGGGGCAGGCTGGGAAAAGGGATGATCGCAGATGCAATTCAACACCCGTCTTCCATCATCCAGCTACATTACTCGAGACCGATCGGTCGACCGCTCAAACCAGCGTCCGTGAAACCGATCTCGGCGGAAGGGGCGCGGAAGCGCCGCGGAAGAGAGTCGAGGGTCTCGACTCGCACATGAACGTAGCCTGCTGCGCGCCATCACTCACCCTGGGTGTGGTTCTGCTCTGAGCGTCGCGGGCCCGACGCTCGTCCGCACGCCTGTGGCGTGCCGCCCGTATCGCCTCCTTCGCGGAGGCCGCCTTGGCTGAGACCTTCACGCTCACGTAGCCGTCGTGCATCGCGGTGGTCAGGTAGCCTCTCTCAGCTTAGAGCTTCGTCAACGCATCCGCCAGCTGAACGGAAGTGTCGCACCACTCCAGGTCCACTCCGTCTTGGCTGAGCTTCTCTCGTAGGGCCGCGATAACAACCCGAACTCGACGATCTGCGATCTGGCCAGCATCCGCGAGCAAGTGGGTGACTAGGCTGTTCGCGTCATCGAACCACTTGGCAGGGATCAGGGTCGCCGCCACGTCGTCCACCAGGTCGCCCAGCGGCTGGTCGGGTTTGTTCATCTCGTAGTACAGCGCCCGGATCTACTTCAGCCCTTCAGCTTCTTCACTAAGTCCGTGGGCTTCCGCTCCCATCGAGGCTCTGCAAACTCTCTTGATACGTGAAATCCCCCCGCCCAAGAAATGCACTGGTCCTTCCTGATGTTTGTAGAGGCCGTCGTCGCTGAGCAAGCACACGAACCCGAGCTGTGACCTCACCTTCTCGCCTATCGGGCCTAGGTCGTAGTCGTCGACGTTGTTGAGGCTGCTGTCCGCGAACACGACCGAGCGTAGGTTTTCATCGTTGTGCAGAATGTCGCTGCGGAAGCAGAGGCACACCTCGCGCGTCTCCATGCAGTAGCGAGCCAGCTTATTCATCTCCAGTAGGTGCTGCACGGTCGCCTGGTTCTTCTGCTGCGCCAGCCAGCTGTAGCCGAATGAGACATCCATGCGGAGTTGCCTCGGCAGCCATCCGAGTGAGCCAATCACCGACTCCGCGGCACTCCGCTCCTCGTCCGTAGCCATCGCCGTAGTCTGCTTCGCCCTGGCCGGGGACATCACGACAGTCTCCATCTGGTCGATAAAGTGCGTCATGCTGATCTTGATCGTGTAGTCCGCCAGCTGCACGACGTCCTTGCCGCAGTACCTGAAGGGCGGCTTCTCCTCCGTCAGCAGCAGCACCCGCTTGAGCTCGTCCGTCGTGGCATTGAACAGGTCGCTGCTGGGGTCGCCCGTCGCGAACAGGTCGTCCACGCAGGTGCCGACGAGGCCGACGAGCTTGCCGTCCTCGAACAGGAGGAAGAACGCCCTCTCCAAGCGGCTATATTGCCACGAGTTGCTGCGCAGCGTCCTCCGTAGCTTACTCCACCATTTCCTTCCAGCGTCCTTCGTGCCGTAGAGTGCGCCGTGGCAGATGAACACCGATCCTACCTCAATTCCTGGTGGTAGTGGCGAGGGAGGTCGCAGCACGAGCACCCTGTCGACGTCGTCTCCTCGTAGGTATGAACTTGTGGCGTCGAGCTTGTAAAGTGGCCAGTGCTTCCTGGCCGCCGTGCTGCAGATCACGTGGAACACCAGCAGGGACGGCGTAGGCGAATCCGTCCTCACGTAGACCGACTCATAGCAGCCGACCGCCACCAGCCTGGATTTCGCGTTCAGAGGGAGTTTCGGGTCGCACTCGTTCTTGTTCGTGTGTACCCATCTTGACCCGACCTAGCAGCTTCTTGGCCGCGTCGCCCGTGACCACGGCCACCGCCCTGAAGTTGCGCCAGTTGCCCCAATCCTTGGCCATGCTCGCGCCGCAGAAGAGCTTCTCCGTCTTCGCGAGGTCCGCGAGCTTGAGCTCCTTCCCTCTGGACTTGCCGGTCAGCCAGGCGCGCTGCACCCCGGCGTAGAAGACCGCGTCCGAGTCGGGCTCCGCCAGGAAGGCTCCAGACATGGGCCCTCCTCGACGCCGCCGCGGCGGCGTGCGCTCTGGCCCGTAGGCCAGAGAGCCAGGCGGAAACTCGCCTGCTCCAGAGGGTCTCGGAGGAGGAATGGTAGGCTCAGGTTGGATATCAT